GGGGCGGCGGCAGCGGCGGAGCCCGAGCGGCCCGGATTAGCGCTGTTTGCCGGCGCGCTGGCGGTGGAAGCGTCCGAGGAGGGTGCTCCTTGGCCGGCGCTGGCAGCGCGGGGTGCTGCTGCCTTCCCCTTAGTTACAACTTCAGAAAGTTTGGAGGGTTTTTTAGGCTTTGTTTTGTTGCTGCTGTTTGTTCCTCTGGGCTGCTGATCTCTGCATTTCTGTCCTGATCCCTTCCCTTTCTTGCTCTGCTACCTGGCGCCCAGGGTCCCTTTGTTTCTTCTAGCCTCAGTTTTGTCCAGCTTTCCTGAAGCTTCTGCAGAACAACTTGCAGTACATATCTTAGCAGGCTGGGGCTAGTAAAAAACCAAATTCCTTTGGTAATTGTTCAGAGATCTTTTGAAATACTACTAAGTGTTTTCTTTCTCTTCTAGATTATTTATGCAAACCTGAGGACAATATTTACAACATTGACTTCACCAGGTTTAAGATCCGGGACCTTGAAACTGGAACAGTGCTGTTTGAAATTGCAAAGCCATCTGCTTCAGGTGTGTCATGCTAACATTGCAGGGAGGCCAAGACTTGCTGAGTTGAGAAGTTGCAGTGCAGGACCCATGCAAACTAAGCAGAAATGTCCTCTGATAATAAGGACCTCAAGTGCTCTCCTTTGAGCATAGGACTGAATTTACCTCTGCTGATAAACGAGTCGTAAAAACGTGAAGCGATTACCATGAGATGAGGGAGTATTATCAGCTGCAAATCATCCCTTGTTGGGCTTTGGCAGTTGCGAGGGGGGATATCCTGTGACGCTGAGGGTGGTTTCGTCTCTGGAGCCACCAAGGCTGCGCCAAGTGTCACAGATCTTTATTACCGAGTGCCAGCATGCGTCTCAGAGCAGTTATTAAACTCCTTTACATTCAGTGCTTAAATAACAGCCAGCCTGTCCTGATACACCCACTAGCCAGTATTACCTTACATGTATGCTATTAGAGTAACCCTGAGCTGGTGCGTTTTCTAGAGCAAGACGAGGAGGATGACGACGACAGCAGTGAGCTGGACGCTAGTGCAGGCCGCTTTGTTCGGTACCAGTTCACCCCAGCGTTTCTCCGTCTTCGGACTGTTGGTGCAACGTGAGTATAAGTTCATAGGAAGAAGGGAGAATCAGATGCTTGCAAAGTGTCACTTGACAGCTGATAACAAAACTGAGTCAAGGAGAGAGAGCCCATCTTACACTACAAATACCAAAGTCTCTCTTGAATCGTCTGTTGGATTCTCATGTAGCCTGAGGTCCAAGGCTCTGTTCTTCCCAACGGGAAGAGAGATATGTTGTCTTAGCTGGGTTTTTTTCCTACTTTTTGCATACAGAGTGGAATTCACAGTGGGAGAAAAGCCAGTGTCAAACTTTCGGATGATTGAGAGGCATTACTTCCGAGATCGCTTGCTGAAGAACTTTGACTTCGATTTTGGCTTCTGCATCCCCAGTAGCAGGAACACATGTGAACACATCTATGAATTCCCTCAGCTCTCAGAAGACCTTAGTAAGTATCTCCTTTCCCCCAGTGAGCTGTCTCCTTTCCCACAGTGAGTTGAGGGTGTTTTGTGTGTGTGCATGTCCTCATTTTCCCCCCCTCTCTACTTGTGAAAGAACTTGTGAGTGGGATGGGAGGGACAGGAATAGATAGATACGGGTTCCTGGTTTAAGCTATGTGTGATCTTGACTGAATTACAGATTTGTGCTGCAAATTCTCCTTTGAAAATGAAGCCCCAAGACAACCTGTATTGTCACATGCTGCAAGAACTGCTCAGAGTCACAGGGCTGACGTGCCTGGTGCCTTACAGTGTAGCCCAGAAGATAAGAAAACCCTGAAAAAGGGTTCTCTTGGTAGTCACACATCTGATTTCAGCAGTTTCTCGTAAGGGCTTGAGCCTCCTGCTTTGGAGCAGGACTGGCTCTTTGCCGAGAGGTGTGTTTCTGAGCCTACCAAGATCTCTGCAAATATACATTGCGCAGGGTACATTTGACCTCAGGGGGTGGATAGAGCAGGAGCACGTGGGCCCTTCTCTGGCTGCCTAGGTTTGGGAGGAGGTGCAGAGTGTGTGCCCTGCCTGTGTACGTGTGGGAAGTGCCACCGCTGCTTCATTTGCGGATTGCTGCCTCTCTCTTACAGCCGTGATTGCTGCTTTGCTCCAGTGGGGGCTCTGACGGTTTCTAAGGTCTGGTGTGAGATGACTCCATCCCCCTTTGTTTGCTTTTGACAGCGCTTGTCCTGTGAATAGGAGAGTAGGAAGGGGCAGGCCAGAGCTTTTTGAGTGTGCTCAGCAGAGCAGTTTGCATCTCTTACTTGGGCAGGGCAGAGCGTCAGCCTGGTAAATCCAGCAGAGTGGCAGAGTCCTTTTTCCTCTGACTTTGTGCTGCCCAGTGGAGTGTGGCAAGCTTCTGAATGTAACTGAGCTTTCTCTTCCACAGTCCGTCTGATGGTTGAAAATCCCTACGAGACCCGCTCAGACAGCTTCTACTTTGTGGACAACAAGTTGATTATGCACAACAAGGCCGACTATGCCTACAATGGAGGACAGTAATCATTCTGTGTCCACTGGGTGCTGTGCTGCCGTTAACCATTCCAGATGTGCAGGAGTGGACTGGAGTTGCTGTCTCTTGCAACAAGGCTTCTTGCCAGACCTCTTCTCCTTACATGAGGCTGAAAACACGAAGCAAAGACGACAGCTCATGAAAGTAAAGGAAATCTCCCTGCAACGCTTCTCTATCTGACACTCGACGTATCTTGCCTCTCGTTCTCTCTTTCTGGTTCCCTTCTGGTACATTAGGTCACGGATCAGAGGCACTGTTAGAAAATTGTTGCTGTTACAGTGTTTGTAGTTAGGCTGCACTTCTGGTGCTTCTGATGTTTCACCTGTTGGGTGACTGCCCTCTTTCAAGAGGTCAGATTGTTTGGGTAAGCTGTTTCTTAGGAGCGTTTTCCCCCTTCAAGTAGCCAGTGGCGCCTGAAGAGCAGATCTCTCGTTCAGTTGGACAGATCATCTCTTTAGTGCACAATGGTTTAGTTTGTAGCATGGCTGAGAGTGCTTTTTAGGGTGCATCCCGATATTCTCCAATGGGAAAGATAAGAGACTAATTGAGCTTCTAAGCAGCGTAGGAATCTTCCTTCTGCCTCCAGGGGCCTGAGCTGCCCCTGAGAACAGCTTCATCTGTATCTTGCCAGCGATTTCACAAGAGATGCAAGATGGGGAAAAAGTGGCTTTATCCTGCGTGATTATCAAGTCAGTCTGGTAGCATTTTTATTTGAGCTCTTGTGACCAAATTGTTGCATTTTGGAGCTCAGGGGTCAACCTTAGAGCTGAAGTTAATCTCGCCGTTTACCATTTCTCCTGCTTCCCTTTGTGTAGGAATTTTGGCTCTTGCTACAGAATGTGTTGCTTTTTAGATCAGCAGCGCATTGCCAGTCTGGCTGTGGCAAAGGGGAGGTGTTAGTCTAGTGGGGCTTAGAGGAAAAGGGGAGAACGTGGAAAACTACATGGAAAATATGTAGGAAGAAGAGCTTCCTAGGCTTCAATCTTTATACTTTTAAACCTGAACGATCTGTTGGAGGTGCTGGAAGCAGAGATGGTGGTGCTACCAGCTCATTTGCTTTGTTTCGGTTGAGGTATTAGTAGCTAAACACTCTCTGGGTCAGACCAGTCAGTGTTATGGAGTGGGGTTCTTACAAAGTGGGAATTCTGTTTGAGTTCCCATCACTGCTTTGCATGCTTAGCTGCTTATTCATGGTTTTGGAAGTTCTGGTGAGTTAGTTACTGCCAGAGCAGAGGGTGTATTTCACAGCTGTATTTGGGATCTGGTGGTAGGAAATAGCATCATGCAGTGGGAAGAGGAGACCCGTGTCTTCCCAGCAGCCATGCTGGGGGTCAGCTCCTGGGCATGCAAAGTCTCAGCTAACAAAACCCTTTTCTGCCTATTCTGCTGGCTCTCAAGACCGACATTTTTCCTGTCCCCTCGCTGGGTTGGCCAGTTGTGTCTCTTACACATGGGAGTTAGGTTGTGTCTAGACTAGAGATGTTTGCTAGTGTTCGTTCCACGTGTTCCCTGAGACAGCTGAAATCTCGCTCCTTGGTGGGTACAGTTGGTTTCCAGCTGTGTTAAGTATGAGTCAACGTAGTTTATGTTTTAGCAGGATTAAGTGCAGTGGGCATCGCAGCCTGGAGCCTGTTAATGTGTAGACAGCAATAGGAAACCACTGCCTTTACCTCACAGATTAATGATGTTAATTTTGGCTTAGAAGATCAGCTGGCATCAGGGTAAGCAGTGAGAGTATGTGGGGTGGCAGCCATGAAAGAATCTCCAGCTCTTGGGAAGGGATTTAATTATGATTAACCACAACAAATGACCTGTTCTGGGTGGAGCATTAATCATGAGCAGCCACAACAAATGTCTTGGGAATGTGGAGGGACAAGGTCTGTGTGGTTGAAAGCTGGAGAACAGTTCTGCTACCATCAGTCCCCTCCAGCATCTCCAAAGGCACTTTGGCAATCTTAACTTATTTCGGAATTAGTTAAAGCTGCTTGGAAGGTGGAGCTTGAGATGCCTCTTGCAGTGGTTGTCTTCAGGAGGCCTCGTGCCGGTGAGGTGGGAAACGCTTGTTCTGGTGGAAGAACTGCCTGGGAGTGTGGTTTTCATCCTGAAGTGCTCAGAGATGCTCAAGATAGTGTCTGAAGAGCCTGCTAGTTATTCCCTGGGAAATCTGTAGCATATTGAGGTGAATTTGTATGTAGTATAAATCCAGGTGCCTTTAAATGTTACTTTTATCACATTTTCTGTATGAAGCAATCTCTTCCTTTTCTTACGAGGGTGATCATCACCATCTGTTTTCTGTGTCACTGTGTGAAGGTTCTTAAAAGACAGATAGACTGTTGCCAGAGTGAACAGCAGAAACTGCTGTACGGGCAAATACTGACTCGTGTGAGGTGTTTGTAGCCGGCAGCGTGCAGCTCTGCGCCGTCAGGTATTGGTAGGGGCGTGGGTGCCATCTTGCCGCTGCTTTGCAGAATGCAGCTGGCTGCAGGGAAGCACTCTGCCAAGTGGACAGGAGGAATTTGATGCTTAGAGGAAAGTGGATTCCTGTCTTAAGTCGTGAGCTCTGCCAGTAGTGATGAGAAAAAAGCGTTGAAGCAGTTGCTTTCCCATCAGTGAATGTATTGGCTATTCAGCAATAAGAAAAGGAAAACTGAAGGAAAAGCAGAAGACTTGCAGGCAGCACTAGCACCCTGCAGTTTCTAGCTGAATTTGTTTGCTTTGCCAGCTTAGAAGGTCTTTGCCCAAAAAGCATGCTGCAGAAAAAAAAGTCCCTACAAGAGGGCAACCCAGCACTGAAAATGTTGATTGTAATCCAAAAAGTCAGGGATTTCCAAACTCCTGTCCCAGATGCTTCCTTAAGTTTCCTTGTCTCTTAAATGCTTTCTGTAAAATGTCTTCTCTTTGTGGCAGGGCTGATGTCTTTGGTAAACATGCTATAACAGAGTATCTTCCTTCTGGATTGTGTGCTCTGATGCTTTGGTTGGTCAAAGCTACTCCAGCCAGTGAGGCAGGAAGAGATCCCATGGGATCTCATCCTTGTCAAGTGGGTGGTCTGTCCTAGCCCGGTGCTGAATGCAAGGGAAATGTTCTCAGTGTTGGTTACATTTGAGCAAGAGAAAAGGTATCTGTGCAGACAGCTTCTCTCAGGTCGTGTGCTGAGTTGGAAAGAGAAAAGAGTTGGGATCATACTGTGTTCTGCTCTAACAGAAAAAAGGGACCAAACCCACAGACTCATGTTGAATCTTTCCAGTATTTGTCCTTTTAGGACCAGGACCTCTTTTTCACATTTTTGAGGCAAGTGCTTTGGATCCATGCAAGCAAGCTTCCTGGACAGCTATTTTCATGATTGACTGAGGAATACACACTGCACCTTGTGAAGGAAGGTTGTCTCTTGTCATGTGGACTGGGTACTGCCGTCCCTCTCCTCTTGGTTTTGATAGGAAGTGTCTTCATGTGTTTTCCTTAGAATTTTCAATGTCTCTTGCTGCAGAAAAGCAGCAGCTTCCTCTCTGGTGCTTGAGGATGTTTATTCTGCCTACTCGAGAATTCAGGAAGAACAAAACGAGTGCTCAGAAGGCAGAAATGAATGAGGAAGGTGGTGATGGTGAAGGTCCAAGTGTGGTAACTGCTTCCCAGCTCTCTGTTTCATTGCATCCTCGTCAGCTGTTTCCTGGTGTTTGCGTTCCTGTCACATCAAGCCACCGAGCCTTGTGCAACCCTGAAGTGTGGCCGGGTACTGGATCTAACCCTCGGACACGAACACGGCCATCTGCCCATCGCTTTCTGCTGAGGACGAGGCTGAGAGCTGCTTGGCGGAGTCGTCACCTCTTCCTCTGCAGCACAGGGAAAAAATGAACACCAGCAAACGCCGTCTCCATCTGCCTGGATCTCAGTGCTGTTACAGGACACTATTTGTATCTCACAGTGTGGCCTTTGGGCTGCTGTCCCTTCCGGGCGCTCCTCCTGTGGCCCTTCCCAGGAGCGGGCTGCGCTGTTCATGCTGGCTGTGCCCCTCCGCTCCTGGCTCCCAGCATGGTGCCGACGGCCCCCCTGCCCTCCCCGGCGCGGTGCCCGGGTGCTGATGTATTTGTATAAACGTTATTTTGTCACCAGCAATAGGAATAAAGAAACCTCCCGTTTTCAAACAGGCGGTGCCCGGTCCTGGAGGCGGGGCCTTGAGGGGGCGGGGCACG